CATAAATATTTGCTGGTCCAAAAAGTAATTCATGCAAACAAATTCATTGTCAGCTTTGTCAGGAAAACCGCACCCAGTAGTGCTTTCCGAGCAGTGAGTTTGACTTTTACAATATCCGCACGGCAGGAAGAAAGGAGCAGTGTGCAGCACAGCTTTGGCTTTATAAAGTCACATGACTTCCAGTAAAAGATAAACATGGTCAGATTTACGTTCAATGGAACTGAATGATAATTTGGAGTCTGTAGAGGGGCTCAAGGGTCACACAAAGCTGAGGAATTGAATATTCTCGCAGTTCCTTTTGAGAACAGGAGGGTCCGACAGAAATTAGAGGTGCGCAGGTTTCACGGTGCACTATCAACAGTGAAACCTTATCTCATAAATAGCATCGTCAATATAAGAACAGATTTGAGGTACACGGAACAGAACAGTTGTTGATAAATGATTCATGACAAACTTTTCGCACCCGTGATGATTTCTCTTCCGTGGGTAAGCGGACCGTCAGGTTCAAAACGCCTTTTTCCAAACTGATCTGATGCGACTCTTTGGCCAGAACGTTTCTCTGATCTGTGACACAGCACAAACACATGTCACTACTTAACTCCGTTGATAATAAGTAATATTGTAGCTGCTTAAATAAAGCAAACATGACTTTATTGTGACAAACTTACCCTCCTCTCTCCGGAAGCGCACCATCGCCGTCCTGCTGCCATTTTCATACTCCACCTCACACTCGCCACCACCGTTAGATTTCTTACTTTGAAAGTATTTCACTAACTTGATTTTTAATCTGGGTATTTTGGTTTCTTCGAGCTCAACGAGCAGAGGATAGGAGTGTACGCCGGCCATCTTCACAGGCCGGCTGCTCTGAACTAGTTTCACTTTTGTTTCCTGTGAAACGAAACGCAGTTTTTATTGGCGTGTTGTGGCGTTTGGCCTTAAAGGGTTGGCTCAGACCGGGGTGCAGCTACAGAGAAAGGCCTGAAAAACACCTTTTTACACTTGGCTGCAGTCCACGGAGGCAGTTTGGAGACGTCCGCGCCCTCTTTTCATTCTTTCACTTTCTCCTTCACTTCGGTACTTTCCAGCTGAAAGTGTGCGACGGTGAGTATCTGGCTTCTGCGCAATAAACCTCTCGATCCGTTTAAACTAAAACGATTTTTTTAAATCTAAGCTAGTCAAATGTGTTAAACATTCATGGATTAGGTTTCGGCAGCACAGAGTAACTTTTGTTGACTGGTCGCGTGTTATGTCGCTCGTGCTGCGTTTCACGTTATAAAAAGGACGCAGAAACGTCAAATGTTTGACATTTTCTTCATTTACACTGGCCTGTCCGGTAAAGTAAGTTATGAAGAACGTTAGAATAGAAAAGCTATGATGTTTACACTGTCTGTGGATTATAGACTGCACGCAGTGCCGTGCACAAGTAATACA